ATAAAGAATCTGCGATTAACGAGATTATTGGGTGTCTTTCCTTTGATTTGGGCGATACTCCTACGCGGTTTCCACCAAATAGTCCATTGGCACCACAGTGGTATAAATTGGAGGATCGCAATGGGGTTAAGGTTGCAGGAGAGTTGATGTTAGCTGCTTGGATAGGGAATCAAGCTGACAACGCGTTTTCTGTTGCTTGGCATTCTGATGCAGCTGCTGTTAGCGGAAAAAGCGTGACAAACATTCGTTCTAATGTATACCTCTCCCCTGTGCTTTGGTATTTAAGAGTTCAAGTGATTGCAGCACAGGATTTGGCACCTTCAGAAAAGAACAGGAAACCAGAAGCTTACATCAAGGCTGTTCTTGGGAACTTGGTTTCGAGGACTACAGTATCAAAGGACAAGAATCCGAATCCTACTTGGAATGAGGAAGTGATGTTTGTTGCAGCAGAGCCATTTGATGATCATTTAATTTTAAGTGTGGAGGACAAGATGGGAGCTAATAAGGAAGTATGTTTAGGGAGGTCTGTGATTCCTTTGCACCAAGTGGAGAAGAGGTTGATGCCTCAAGCTATTGGTGCTCAGTGGATTAATCTTGAGAAGTATGTTGCGGAGGGTGAGGAGAAGACAGAAGTGAAGTTTGCTAGTAGACTTCATTTGAGGATCTTTTTAGATGGTTTATATCATGTTTTTGATGAACCAACTTACTACAGCAGTGATTTGAGGGCGACATCTCCCAAGTTATGGCCAGAGAAAATTGGGGTCTTGGAGCTAGGTATCCTAAAAGCTGAAGGGTTGATACCAACGAAGTCCAGGGATGGTCGTGGAACTACCGATGCCTATTGTGTAGCGAAATACGGGCGGAAGTGGGTTAGGACAAGTACTATAGTAGACAGTTATGCCCCGAAGTGGAATGAGCAATACTACTGGGATGTTTATGATCCATATACAGTTGTTACCATTGGAGTTTTTGATAACTGTCATTTACAGGCAGGGGACAAGAACGATGGGACGAGTGATCCACGACTTGGCAAAGTAAGGATTCGGTTGTCTACTCTCGAAACTGGTAGGATTTATACACATTCCTACCCGCTTTTAGTCTTGCAACCTAATGGATTGAAGAAAATGGGAGAGCTTCATTTGGCTGTGAAATTTAGTTGCAACAATTGGATCAACTTGTTTCATACTTACTCACAACCTTTGCTTCCTATGATGCACTACCTTCAACCATTATCAGTCTATCAGCTAGATAGTTTAAGACACCAAGCTACTTATATTCTCTCTTTAAGGCTTGGTCGTGCCGACCCACCCCTAAGGAGGGAGGTTATGGAGTACATGCTTGATACAGGTGTAAATAGATGGAGCTTGAGAAGAGCAAATGCAAATTGTGAGAGAGTCATGACATGTTTGAGTGGTATCGTTGTTCTTTGGAGGCAGTTTGATCAAATACGCCATTGGAAGATCAATTCAGCAATCACAGTCCTGATTTACTCATTGTTCGTTGCCATGGTTATGTGCCCAAAACTAATATTGACTGCATTCTTTCTAGCTCCTTTCGTGCTTGGAGTTTGGTACTTTCCAAAGAGGCCAAGGCATCCTCCACATATGGATACCAAATTATCTCATGCTGAAACTGCAAAACCTGATGTACTTGACGAGGAATTTGATTCGTTTCCATCTTCCAAGCAAGGTGAAGCACTAAAGACAAGGTATGATAGATTGAGAGGAATTTCAGGGAGGTTGATGATAATTATAGGAGATTTGGCAACTCAATTGGAGAGGATTCAAGCTCTTGTAAGCTGGAGGGATTCTCGAGCTACTGCAATGTTTTTGGTATTCTGTCTGATTGCTTGTTTGTTGGTTCATAAAGTTCAGTTCAAGTACTTGGTTCTTGTTATAGGGACTTATGCAATGAGGCCTCCAAGACTTCGTGCTGGCATTCCTTCCATTCCTCAAAATTTCCTCAGGAGACTGCCTGCTAAAACTGATAGCATGTTGTAAGGAAAACATTTTTATGATGTGCTGCGGCCAGGTTTTTTGTTTTTTTTCCTTCTAACGTTTCATAATGTCGTTAACAAGCTCAGGTGCTGCATTGTTGCATGAAGCAGAGGGCATTAACCTCTGCTTATTGACAATGGGTTTTGAAAGTCTTAATTCAGGGGTTGATACGCTTCCTTTATCCATCGGCACTTCCACCTCACACTGTTCTTCCTTCGTATTTTTCTTGTTGACAAATATTCATTCTGGTCTCTATGTTCAACACCAATAAAAATCATTGGGAAGCAGCAGCTTGAAAAACTGATAAAGAAGCTACCACAAAAAATCTCAATTGTGCAAGACTGTTCACCATGACAAGCCAGTCGGAACTGTGATGAAGTTTTTGCCAGGAGCAACAGGTGAAGTTCTTACAGTGAAACGTTGTTTAATGATAAGAAAGTAACTTCTAATACTTCCAATATATTTTTCTTAAAATAGAATTCTTCGTTGGATTATGCAATGTACTGAAATTTAGTAGATACATAGTTTAGAGATGGAACTTGAAGAATAACAAAACATTATCCGCTCCAGCAATGAAGAGTAACGCCAAGCAGTCCTCCAACGTTGCTGGATTAGCACTAGCAGATGAAAAATAAAGGACACTATTTGACAAGTTGACCATTGCCACAGCCAAAAAAACATGAAAAAAAAAGGGAAAAAAGCTTGTTACCCATGTTATTTTGTTGAATTTCAGTTGCACTACTTGTGACTGAACATCCATAATCCAAGACAAGCTAATGGCTAAATTCCAAAGACAGTAGCCATTGATAAATAACAGATATTTCTTCATGCCTTGAATAACTCGAGAAGTTACATCCAGAATGAAAGAAACTTGCACAAAATCGCTGCATCTGATGATAAAAATCCTCAGAGAAACTTGAAATCTATCATTTAAATCAGCATAGACCCACAACTATACAGAAATGCCAACTTTGACAGTTGAGATAAATGGCAAGAATGTACACAGTTATATATAGCTCCCACATTCCAGAAAAAAAGATGGATTTGAAAAAAAAAAAAAAACACCGGGATGGCGGCACCCATTCTTAAGCACTTCAGAAAAGATTGGCTCAAGCTGGAGGGAGCATCACCCAACTGAGTGGCGCAGATCCAAAACGAAGTGGTCGTAGACAAAAAGGATTACAACAGGGCTTTCCTAACCAAATATTATCATTTGCTTCATTAAGGTTAAAAGCACTTCTGAGTTGAGCCAATAGATTGAGCCGTGACGCACCAAGTTTTATGGTTGGGTATAACCTAATTATGTATAAAACTCAACTATAAAAGTTAATGTTTTTTACTTTTTATAGTTTTTTTTTTTTTATGAATTCCACATCTAAATCACAACCTCCACCTCTAAAACAAACACACATAAATGAGAAGAAATAACATGGGGAGTGTTGTCGTTTAGCATGTCATTAAACGACACCGGTTATTGCCGAAAGTTTTTTTTAACTATCATGACCCCACAGTCAATGTTTGAAAAATTAACCTGCGATTTAACCCATAATTTAGATAATATAAAAACTAAATTAGATTATTTTTAAATAAAAAATAATATTGTATGATTAATAAAAAAAAAACTGGATTGATTGAGCAATTGGCCTAGAAAAAATATGATCGATTTTTTTATTTTTTAAAAATAGTATAAATTTTATTATTTTTATAAAATAAAAGAAATTAACTGACCTGTATTAACTCACTTAAATTGCCGGATGAACCTAAATTGGGTTTAAAAACTAGGCATTGTATTTAAGGTTAGTTTGTCTACAATTTATTTATTAAAACATAATGAACATGCAAAAAAAAAAAAACTCAAACTCAAAATAAAAGGCGAAAAAACTATGAAATAATAATAAGAAAAAAAAACAAAATAGAGTAGAATAGAATTTGCACTATGATGACGCAGGATTGGCAAACACAGAGGCTTCAATGTAGCTGCACAAACTTGGAAAATTTGGGGATCGATGGAGTAAAACTACCGCACTTAGAAAATTTGGGATTTATTATTTATTTTGAGTTAAATTTTTAGTTAAAATAGATAAGATGTTAATCTGGTAAAATAAAATTAATTTGATAAAACCTAGTTGTGTGAGCACTATTTTAATATAAATTTTAGGTTGTGTTTAGGAATGCTTGGTGTTTTTATTTATTAAAAAATATATTAAAATAATATAATTTTTATATTTTTAATATCAATTAATTAAAGTTTAAACTAATAAAAAACACTAAAAAAGTATATTAATTTAAAATATAAGAAAAAATCAAAAGTTTGAAAAAAATACCTATTAATCTAGAACCCATAATCCCTTTTCCGGGTACAATGATGAGGTTGGAATCTGTGCCTCCACCACCTATCTACTCAGCCATAAAATGTCCTTGTGGACAGTAGCGGTAAAACTCCGTCGGGATTGGTTTTGGTGGTTCATCTGCTCATTTGATAATTTGAGCCGATGCTGCCAAATGATGAGCTTGATATTTTCACAATTTTATTTTTATTTTTTATTTTAAAAATTAATTTTTTGATTTAAATTAATTTTTTATGTATTTTCAAATCTTTATAATATACTAATATCAAAATTAATTTTTTAAACAAATATTATTTTCATATATCTACAAAAAAAAAAATAGTTTAAAAAGCTACTACTACACTTAGAAATATTTAAGAATGCAGTGGTTGTTTTTTAAATTTTAAAATATATTAAAATAAATTTTTTATTTTTAAAAAATTATTTTTAATATAAGTATATCAAAAAAATATGATAATATCAAAAAATATTAATTTAAAATAAAATAAAATAATTAATTTTTTTAAAACACTTTTAAAATACAAAAATAAAATAATATATTTTATTTTATATAAAGAAAATAAAAGTAAAATTTTTAATAATGGAATTATTCTAAAATAAAATATAATAATAACTCCATGCATTGACCGGTGACCAACCCTTGTTTCCAGAAAGATACCATTGGAGGAGACGAGATCACAGCCCTCTTTCTCTCTCTGTCTAGCATCACACCTCCTTGCTAGCTTCACCCACCTGGACTATCCCAGGCTCTTGTGTCCAAATGTTTCTGCATATAAGAACTTCCATAGCCACAGCGTTTGCCTCTTCATCCTAACTTTAGTCATCCAACAAGAGCTTAACCTCCATGGCTAAGAGTAAAAAGATTTTCACCAACACCCTCAGGCTCCTTGCCTTGGCTGCTACTGTGGTTGCAATTGTCTTCATGGTCACCAGCCATGAATCTGCCCAAGTCTTGAACTTAACATTCACTGCAAAATATAGCAACACACCAGCATTCAAGTAAGTGTAGTTTCCCCAACTTTCTGCCCTGACCCCTGCATTATTATCATCCTATTTTGAGTACATTTTTATGCCTGCCTTGTGGTTTTACTGGTCCCAAATGCTGGCATTTAGGTACTTGGTGATTGGAGAGGCAATTGCAGGTGGATACACCGTTATATCTATCCTTCTCTCGTTCAAAGGCCTGTTTTGGCGCTTGATTGTAATCCTAGATATGGTAATTAATGATGCAGATCTTCTTCTTCTTCTTCTTCTTCCCCTTTTAGCGGCATGTGCTTCTGTGATCATGAAATATGAATTTATGAATTGTAATGGGAACTTGCTTGTCATATAGGTCACAACAGTGCTACTCACATCAAGCATTTCTGCTGCGGTGGCAATAGCTCAAGTGGGCAAGAAAGGGAACACTCATGCTGGTTGGCTACCAATTTGTGGACAGGTTCCTGATTTCTGCGACAATGTGACTATAGCTCTTATTGCTGGTTTTGCAGCAGCAATAATTTACTCTGTGCTTCTTCTCTGTTCTCTCTATGTTGTCCTCAGTCCTATTTTTGTTGCAATACCTTAGATAAGCTTCCTTTGAGTAAAGACTAAAGATACTGTAATTTCATCTATACAATTTGGTTAGCTTATATGCCTTCTCTGTTTCTCAAGGACTGCTTAACCTGTTAAAGAATATATGCACTTCTTCCCCGACTGATGATCATTTAACATATCGGTGTAGCATGCTTGCTTTAGTTATTGTCTTGTAGATATGACAGTAGGAACCCTTAGAAAGGATTTTCTTGGGAATCTTCATATGGCTTGCTGTTTGAGGCAACCACCTCAGAACATTTAAAGAGTTAACAGGCCTAGCAAAGAGAAGCCACTAAACATGACTGCATGAGGAACCGTGGAAATCACTGGGCCGCAAAGGAAAAGGAAAGCAAGCAACAACAGATATTATAAACTTTATTCGACGGGCTATGGTTCTCTTGGGGTTTTCATTATTGGAGCTGGAGTCCTTAAGGATTTTCTGGAGAATCTTCATATGGCTTTCTCCTTGAGGCAACCACCTCAGAACATTTAAGAGTTAACAGGCCTGGCAAAGAGAAGCCACTAAGTATGACTGCATGAGGAACCATGGAAATCACTAGGCCTACAAAGGAAAAGGAAAGCCAGCGACAACAGATCCTATAAACTTCATTCGACGGGCTATGGTGCTCTTGGGGTTTTCATTATTGGAGCTGGAGTCCTTAATTAATACTGCGTGGCTGCAGCAGGCTTTGTGATGTAATTTTCATTACATTTCGGTGCATGTTTCCTCGACAGAATCAAAAACGTCCTTTCCAGTTTCCTTGAAGAAGGCATGAACTGTATTCATCATTTCCATTAAAGCAATTACGTACCTTATCCACACCCCTCGTTCTAAAACGTCCCTGATAAATGAGAGTGATACAAGCGTGGTTAGGACTTGAATATTCCCATTGTAGATTCACAAATTAATTATTTGAAGAATATAAGTGAATATTATATAGCTCAAGAGTAAATATTAGACGTTACCTTGTGATCTCTAGAGCTTTCTTCCGGCCATGTCATTTTCAGCAAGGCGTGGTTGTCAAACAAAAACATCGTTCTGATGATCAGAAATATTTCTAGCACAATAAAAGGCCATAGGTATCATTGCCCGATGAACCACAGAAGCTGTGACAGAAAGAGAAGCAGACTCCTACAAGAAAGGCTCCACGCTAGTCACAAAAAATCACTATTTAAGCTGCGTAGAAGTAGAAGTAGACGGTGAGGAATTCACTGAAATCAAGAGCCATTCCCGTCCGTGTCCAGGGCTCCAAAGAACTTACGTTTTGTGATTCAAGCGAAACCTTTCTTTTCAAGGAACTTCTTATATTCACTGAGGGTTATTCATCCGTATTCTCCGTCCTCATCCATTGATGTATAAAAATGAGTTACATTTCTTCTGCCGCCTCGACAAGTTTTCACAGTAAACGCAGTTTCGCATATCTCTTCCACGCTCCCTGCTTTCACTGCCACTGGCGCCACCGAAAGCGCTAACCAGCAACCAGGGAACTAGTTATAGTATAACAATAACCTCAATGTTAATCTTCTATTTATAAAGACAGGCTAGACGGCAACATATTTTATTAAACACTTAGAAGGCTGTTCCGCTGCAAGAGGGGCTTGTCTGTCTGTGGTTTTTTTTTTTTTTTTAACGGAAAGTTGCATACTTTTTTAGGGAATTGTTTTTTTTTTTTTGGTCCCTAGATAATTTATAAAATGCATTCCTCCACATCATACATTTAATAAATTTTCTAAAATTATGATTCTAAAATTTGAAATAGAAAAATAAAAAATGAAATATAACTTATTAACTATCAAGCAAGCTAATCCTTTACAGCGAAAGGACAATAAGAAAAGAAAAGAAAAATTAAAAGACATAAGTGAATCATTGTGAAAGTGTTTTTTTTCTTTTTTTTTCACTTTGGTCATCAAATTATTATTTTTTCAATTTGATCCTTCCATATTACACTGATTGATAATTGAGTTTGATGATTTATTTTGTGCTTCTTACTTTTGAATTTTTGTAATCTAAAAAAAAAATCCTAACATTGAGTTGGTTCTTGATTTTGTAAAGAAATTTTTTATTTGATTTTTTGTGAATAATTAAAATTAAGAGGACCAAAATGGAAAGTGTAGTCCTTTATTTAAGAAGAAAATATTTTTCTTTTTTGGTCATTTATTACTTTTTTTAGCTTGGCCATTATGTTTTTTCTTTTTAATTTTATTTTTTTATATTATGTTGATTAATGATTTAGCCTGATTATTTGGCTTGTGTTACTTTCTTTCAGGCAATTGTAATCTAAATAAAATACTTCACACCACTAAATTGGTTTTTAATTTTACAAAAAACAGTTTTTTGTTTGTAAAAATTTAAAAATTAAAGGATCAAAATTAAAAGTTTGATGAGATGGCAACCCTTAAAACAAAAAATTGGTGTCAATGCCTTTTTTGGCTTAAGATTTTGACCAAATTAATTTTTTATTCTTTTAGTTTGAAAATTATACAATTTAGTTTAAAACTTCATTTTATTCATGTTTTAATGTCTTAATTTAGAAGAGTAAAGAGAAAGTTGCTTAATTACAACAAAGGGGAGAGTTATTCAATTGAGATCTTTTAAAAATTTTAAAATAATTAGTAGTCACATTTCATCAACAAATTTTATTCGACAAAGAAAATCCAATTGAGATCTTTTAAAACTTTAATCTTATTTGAAAAAATAAATCGGGGATAAAAAAAATTTTTATTCCTTGATTTGATTTATATTTTTGAACTAATTTCAGAGTTTTTTGGATTGATAACTTCGTGTTTTTAGATTCTAAAAGTGTTAATTAAAGATTTTTTGGGTAAAAAATTAGCTAAAAAATAAATTTTGAAGTTAAAAGCCCTTGTACCCCCAATTTAAATATTAGTGTTGAGATCTTTTTTTTCTTACATTTGTTAGTATATATAATTTTTAATCTATTTTATTAAATGGATGTATCAGATTTTGAATTAATGATTAATATTTTTTATTTTTTAAAAAAATATTAGCAATATTTAAATATTATTTTAAATTTAAAAAATTTATTTAACTTGCAATTTAATGCAGATTAATTATCTAGTAGTTATTAATATGGTGAGACTTATTGGGTTGATTTGAGAAACTCAAAACTTAGAATCTCTTATAGACTAGATTTTTAATTGAATTGACTAAGATATTAATTTGATTAAAATTGAATAACTAAATTAGCATTTTAATAACTTAGTTAATCAAGTAAAATCTAACTATGTTATTATAAAAAAATAAAAAAATAAAATGATATTGTTTATATAAATAATAGATCCAAATTGATCACACGTAACCTAATTTAATAATTCAATAATCTAAACTTTTTTGTAAAATTCGTTTAAAAACCTGACAACTACAATATAAGAGCTTTGGTCTTATCTTTAGTGAAACACTAACTAACTTCAAATCAAAAATTGTTTTTCAATGAAAAACACAAAGAAGAAAGTGTGAGCATTATCAGCTTGTTTTTTAGCTTGAAGAAAAATTTGTGATAATTTTATTTTAAAGTTAATGACAAATGATTTTTTTTAATATAAAATTCATACAAATACAGCTAATTCATGTAAAATATATATATAAAAAAACTTAATCCAAATCAAACTAACATCTTAAAAGTGTCATGTAACTAAAATACAATTTTAAAAAATCAATCACTGTCTAAAAAGATTGAGTCGATTTTCTTTTAGAAACAAGAGAGCAAGCACAAATCAGTATTTAAATAGAAAAAATTGACAGAAAAAAAAAATATAAACAAAGACGTCAAGTGTTAATGGGTTAGACCCACTCACCAGATTGCAATAAAAAAACATAAGTGTACATAGGCCTAGAAGCCTAGGCCTTCACCTAGGTTTTTTATTATTTCCTCGTAAAGGGCCGCCCTTGTATTTTCCTTTTTTTTTAAGGTGAGCGATAAATCGCATGAAGTGGTGGCAACTTGCCACTAACTAGTTTTTTTTCTGGTGACCTTTGGTGATTAGGAACTAGGATCATGTTTCTACCTTTAAAAAATCTAAATTTTAGCTTGTTTTTATTTTGAATACCTTAAAAAACATAATTTATTCCTCAAAAAACTACTCAACATCCACGAAATCACTCTGAAAAATAAAAATTAATTGAATAACAAAACCCTAATATTAGTTTTTTTGAAGGAGAAAACTATCTCCATTAAATTTCTTTCGATAAAAAAAACTTATTAATACAAAGATTTTTTTTTAAAATAGTAAAAGCTTGGTTGATTAATAATATTCTCTCTCTTTCATTGTTTCCTTGCGAGTTTTTTTTTTTTAAATCTATAATTAAAAAATAAACAAAATAAATTTTTAAATTAAAATTAAATTTCTAAAAACTCTAAGATTGAGCATATATTTTCCAAATGTTTTAAATTGTGGTTCTCTCTCTTTTAATTTTATCTTTTTACTATAATATAAAATTTTATCTTATAAAATTAGATTATAAAAAAATTAAATAAAATAAAAGATGAGAATAAAGTTCAGAATAAAATTAAAAATAAAATAAATAAAAAAGCTTGAGAGTTGATTCAATATTCATATGAACAATGAATCAATTATAACTCAGTCATCTAAGTAACTAGATTATTAGATTATTTGTGTTTGTTATACCATCAATTAAATTAAAGTTTTTAAAATATAAAAAAAAAATCCATATAGAGAAAATATCTTTTTTAGTAGAAAAAATAAACATCGTGAGGGATAAGCTAATTTAATATAATTAACTTAATAGAGAAAGACAATTCAGATGACTAGTAAAAAAATAATTTAATTAAAAAAATTAAGACAATATTTTTTTATATATATAAATATTAAGAAGATAACATATTAGATTTATCCAAGTCAACTTAGATTAACCTTTCAAATTTAGAATCATGGTGATAAAACTATGATAATCCCACATAAAATAAATTATAATGCAATTAATTAAATGTTAAAAAATAAAATTAATAAAATAATTAATAAAAAATTAAAATTAACTTAGATTAATATGTTAAATTTATGATTTAGATTATGAAATTACAATAACTCTATAGAAATCATATATATATATATATATATATATATAATATTCAAATAAATAAATAACGTTATGTGAGATGAATCACTATTAATTACCATCTCTTTTATATAGTATTATGTTAATAATAATAATAATCATTTAGCTGTGGAAGGTTTCGATTGTTAAATGGTTGGTTTTTTCAGTACCTATACTTTTGTGGGTATTTTAGACTTTTCCTCTATAATATTGATAAGGCTGTATAGCGTTCATATACGGTCATGCGTGCCACGTGTTCCCTTCATTATCCCTTTCCTAATCCTCTACCACAAGTATCAGGTTAGAATAGACGGATGGAGGGATGAAAATTGAAAAGAGAGAGAGAGGAGAGGAAATGCAGAAACAGATGGAGAAGAGAGAGAGAGAGAGAGAAATCACTAAGGGGTAACATCAGAACCTTTTAGAAACTAGAATGGTAACAGTGATAATTCTTAAACTATAACAGTATAATTGAAACATTGATGAATTTATAGGGACGAACATAAAGTTTACCCTGGAAAGAAAAGGGGTCAAGCAAATTTATCTGATCAACATTCACTATAGTCCCCAGTCTGTATTTCCTCGTCAATGCATCTAAACCACCAACTGATATGGTAGAGAGCCAAATGGGACATAAAAAAACGAAGAAGAACCATTAAGACACACTTGGTTTTCGGACACATCTTACTGCAAGATGATTTGTGGTGCTCTCACCTTCAGAGCTCCTCTTTCTTCAAGCTCTTCCTTCACTTGTGATTCCAAAAGACCTGCTAAGCATTCTGCCAGACTCAAAATTCAATGCTCAAATTCTAGTCCGGACATTCCTTTAACCACCGGTAAGTTCTTGCTTTTGTACTTCTCCATTCTGTAAGCAATGGATTAAGTTTCCATTATAAATCCAATACACAAAATTGTAAAGAATCCAGTGTTCAAGCTATATGTTCAACAAAGTTGTTTGCATGCTTTACTTTTGAGTGGTCTGGGATTAATTATGAGAATTTGGTTTTGCAAAATGGTTAGCTCTGTGGCCTGTTTGACCTGTTAAAGGATGTAATTTTTCCTCAGTTGATCATTTTATGTACTCTCAGAATAGGGTGCTTGCTCTCGTTTTAGTCTTGCAGATATAACTATTGAAAGCCTTTCGAGTTTCTTGAAAATCTTCATATGACTTTCTTCTTTACACAAGTAACACAACAACCCCAGAACAAATAAGCATTGAGGCCCAGAAAATGTTGGTGTCCTAAGGCCATCACACTAGGATTTCACCAACTCGTGCCTTGTAGTGACAGAGAGGTACCAAGCCAGTTTGTAGGGTACTCAGTGTTCTGGTTGCAATTGCCTATTTGGAGAAATGAAGAAAGAAATTTTATGAACTGTACCAATCTGAGAGATGGTAATAAGTATTTCCTGGGGAAAATCTCAACAGTGATAGGAGTTCAATAGGTTGCAGTTTTTCTATGTAATGAAATTAATGAAGCCATTGAGAAAAGAAACCCCTTTTAGCATATTTTGTGTGAATGACAATAGCATCACATAATCTTGGTATACATAACATCATGCCAACCTATATGTGCACAAGGCATTAATGCATAACACCCCCTTCCCCTCACATCTGCCGCAATCCTAAGGCTTGCTCAATCAATCTTGTGAAGTGCTAGGTGAAGCTTGTTCGCAATTGAAGCTGACTTTTGTTATGGATTTATGACAGAGAAGATTGTAAATGACTCTTATTTGACTGGCGGTGCATATGATTTTGATAGAGCATCAACATCACTTACTCAGAAGTTATTATCATCTCCAAAGAAGGTTACTATTGTAAGGCATGGTCTTAGCTCTTGGAACAAAGAGAGTAGAATTCAGGTTTTTAGCTTCTCTCTTGCAATTTGTGGATAAAAATTTCTTCTTTTGACCATTCTCTGTAAGCTGCTAACCTGATTACGTTATGGGTACCTAGGGAAGCTCAAACTTATCTGTCTTATCAGAAACTGGAGTGAGGCAAGCGGAGAGGTGTAGGAAAGCCTTGGGAAATATTTACTTTGATCGGTGCTTTTCAAGTCCAATATCTCGTGCCAAGGTTTGATCAATGATTGCCATGACTGGTATCCTAACTTTCAGTTTTTCTCTCTATCAAATTACAAACTTGGCATTCAATGCAGTCCACTGCCGAAGTCATATGGCAAGGGAGGGAAGAGCCACTGGTTTTTCTCGATTCATTGAAGGAGGCCCATCTATTTTACCTTGAAGGCATGAAAAATGGTCTGTTCCTTTTGTTTTATTTGCTCAGCTACTGCTAAAGCTTGAGAATTTCTTCGTACAATTCTCATGTTTACTCGTCATGTTCTTTCTCACCCCATCACCAAGTTGTGGTGTTCATAAGTCATAACTCAGTCAAATTTGAAGAATGAGCAGTCAACTTTAATGAATAAAATTATAAAACTAATCTCTACTATCTATGTGGAGAACAACACTGAACATGCATTTTTCTGTTCATTTTTATAAGACTAAAATCACGTTCTGAATTTGGAGGCAGTGGATGCCAGGGAGAAATATCCAAAGGAGTACACAACATGGAGAGAAGATCCTGCTAATTTTACTGTCAATGGCATCTACCCTGTGCGAAAGCTATGGGGGACAGCTAGAGAAGCTTGGAAGGAAATATTGTTTTCGTCTGTGAGTAACCTTGCTTCTGATGGGTATACCTTATTAGTTTTCTTGGAATGTTAAGTCTACTGACTTGAAAATATTTTCTTCAGGGAGAAAGCTTTTTGGTCATCACGCATAAGTCAATATTGAGGGCATTGATCTGTACAGCTTTGGGGCTAAGTCCAGAAAGGTATGTGCTGGACTTGAAATAATTTCAGTAACCCAGTTTAAGGCATAATGATCCTTCTGGGATATCAACAGCTAGTTCTCAAATACCTAGAACATCTTTGAGCCTTGGGCTGTTTTTCGGTATTAAGTTTAATGTGGCCTTATTTAGACATTTTGTTGAAGCCTGATTGCCACCATGCTTGCGTATCAGTTTTATACAACAGTAACACTTTTTGCTGCTTACTTTCAGCTTGTAAGTGCATTATTTGTTGGTTCAGGTTCCGTTCAATTGATGTAAATAATGGTGGCGTATCTGTATTCGCTTTCAACAAAAAAGGAGAAGCAATGCTTCAATCTTTGAACATGACAGCTCACATGTATAATGATCATACCTATCTTTACTGAAACTTCAAGACTTCACTTTTTGGCGAGGAAGAAAATTCTGCTGAAAGGAAACGCACACCAGAAACAGTGATACAGTGCTCATGGAATGATAATGGGCAGAGTAAGTGATGCAACTTATGAATGATAATGGGCAGAGTAAGTGATGCAACTTATGAATCATACCAGCTTCATCTTTGTTTGGTTACCATGAGGAGATAAGGATTGTAGTTTAGAAGTTGAAAAGGTGTAACGGATGCATATTCTTAGCCCACGCTATGGTCGCTTGTCCATGTTAAAGCTTTTATCTGAATTCATTATGAGAAAACCTGCATTACTGTGGAATAGTATTCCTGTAAAGCCCTTTCCAGAATATTCATTTTCTCACTATTCTCTCTTCCAATGTTCCTTTCTCAGCTATCATTGTTCTCGTTGAAGAATGGATTCTTACAAAGCAAGAGGGTTAAGGACTCGAGTTTGAGTCCCAACTTTGTGAATTCATTAACAATCACAAAAAATTGTATACTTGGAACTGATAAAGTGGCAGGCTAAGGAACCTGAAAAGCAGAGATGTGTTGAAGCTTTGTTTTGGCAAAGAGCTAATAACTTGTCGGGGAGTCGATGAACTGCTTGGTGTCAACCGTACATTTTCTTGGTCAACACTTCCAGTATCATTTCTTGATTTAAAAAAAAGGGTGAGGCAGTGAGAGCTGAGTGTATTCTTATAGAAATTACATATCACTGCAGAACTCTTTTGGCTGCCTTTGTTGAACAGTGATACAAGGAATTTATGGCAAACGAGAAGGGAGATGCGTGACCATTTTATTCTATGTGAAAGAAAAAAGGTTACTAGAAATGGACATCATATATTTGGTTTTTGCCATCAATATTATTGAAATGACAGAAGGAATGTTGCGCAGGAGAAGGTGTGAGTGCCTCCAAGCTGCTGCTTTTCTTCTTTTTTCTGATTTGTAGTCTTCTGTTCTCAAGTATCTGGTTGCCCACAAAAATTAAAATACCCTCAAGAACAGGAAATTATCGTTTTCAGGTCTATAATTTGGTGCAAAATACAGTGTAAAAGAAGGTATAAATACCACATTAGTTAACTGAACAACGCAAGTGTGGTTAGGGAGGCAGTGAGGTGACCGAGGTCTCGGACTCCGGTGCTACTTCTGTCATCCAAAGAATCTTGAAGGAGAAAATAAAAAAGTTGTGGGCATCATGGCTGCGGGGAGAGAATATATCATTCATGTCTCATAATATAATATCAAATTCGTGAAACTTGACAAACAGCAGGTTTGCCCGAGAGGTTAAGGGGGAAGACTTAAGATCTTCTGTACATAAGTACGCGTGGTTTCGAACCCCCCAGCCTGCATTTTTATTTATTATGGGCCTCTTAATATTTTCATCATCTTTCTGTCTTTCTTTTTCCTTTTCAGGTTCCCTGTTGAAATCTTTCTCGTTTCATAAATTATATTTTAATTTTTACTAGGATTATTGGAAATTTATACACACACATCAAATCTTTATAGATAGGGAAAAATTTATGGATGTTGCGCGGCTGAAGGTACTTTTGGAATACCCATTTGACTGCAAATGTGATCTCATCGGAGATGATGGTGGTCATGGTGGTGTTCATGCAAGAAGGTCAAGAGTGGAGGCTGGGATGTGGAACGGTGGTGGGCCTTTGAAGGAAAAGAAAAGTCGTCTATGGTTATGATTCAAATTTCTGCCGTTGTTGTGAGATCTCTTGTCATTCAGGAGTGACAAATGGTGGTCGCAAGTACAATGATTCCTCAGTTTTACTTCGGTTTACTTCTAGATTTCTCTCCCCCACTGCGGGCTTATCAGATCAAGTTTTACCGTGTGGTGTTAATTTAATGTAACTTTGTCTATTTTATGAATTTAAAAAAAATATAAATTATAAAAAATATGATATAATTTAAAACAAATTAAAATAATATTTATTTAAAAATAATAAAATATGATTTACTGAATTCATTTGGATTAATTAGAATAACTTCTTAAATTCATAATTCAAATTATAAAATTAGAATAACTTAATAAAAAATAAATCAAATTAAATTATAAATCTTAATTTTTATTTAAAATAATATTAAATAATAAATTTTAAAAAAATTAATTAAAAAATAAAAAAAATAATTCATATCAACTCGAGTCAATATGTCAAACTTGTAGCACAGATTATTATACCATGATAATCTTATAGAAAATAAATTAAAATAAATTATAAAATTCAATTTCTAATCAATTCAATGTTAAAAAATAAAATTAAATAAATAATTAATAAAATGACTTAAGTTATCTTTATTAAGTTAAGTCAATGATCTTAATTATGAAACTGAAATAATTTTATAAAAAATAAATTATAAAATATAATTTATAATAATAAGTATATAAATAAAAATTAAATTAAAAAAAATAAATTTATCAGGTTAATCTTATAACTTGAATGATAATATTAAAATAATTTAATAAAATAAATTATAAAATTCGAGTAAACAAAGATGAAAAAAAAAAAGTTGTTCCGGTGAACAGTGATATATAAGGAGGGGCTGAGGGGAATGCCGGAATGGTGATTAACCATTCTCAATTATTTCTTATTAAAATGCAAAATATAATATATGGAAATATAAGAGTGAAGTGTTATTTAGGTAATGATGACATGTAGGATGTAGGTATAGGGTGGTGTTTTTGTGTAGGTGGTGCTGACGTGTAGCACCTAGGTTGCTGTAGCAAGCACGCATCGCCAAGCACGTGTTTAGCTCCACGCATTTAATGTAAAATGCTGTGTTTGTCAGGGGCGAGAGAGATGAAAAGTTGTAAAAGTAACAAAATTCGAAGATAACTTCTTCTACTTTTTTTTTTTATAACTTCTTCTACTTTTTTAATATTGCGGAAGATAGTATATTATATCATACGTTTTTCATGTTAAGTTGCTAAACTTTACATTCAGATAATCTTATAAAATATAAATTTTAATTTTAATTTAATTAAATAATAAAATTTTAAAAATTCAATTAAAAAAATACAACAATAAAACTTATAAAAAAAATCACGATGTTCAAATTCTTAAAAAATTAATTAGAAAAATGATAATAAAAAAATTTAAGCTAGTTATTGTTAATTGATTAACTTGTAATTTGAATTATTTTAAAATAAATTATAGAATTTAATTCTAAATCAACTCAATTAAAAAAATAAAATTGAGTTAATTTAATTGAATTATTATTAAAATCATGAAATTAAGATAATTTTATATAAAATAAATTATAAAAAATAATTTTTAATAAACTTAATATTAAATGATACAATTTAAAAAAAAATCAAAGCATTATTTATGTGAGGAAATAAAAAATGAATCCATCTCCCTTTTAATTTTTTTAAGAAAATAATATTCATTTAATATCATATTAGAAATTTACTGCTTTTTATAAAAAATTTGTTTGATAATCGTAGCAAAAAAAAAAAACACTACTATACTCTTATTATACTAAAAATCTCTAACCCATATATATGATTTAAAATTGCATAAACCTCAAATATATCGTATACTATTAAAATAATATCAGTTCTGCATCCAAATTATTTTTAAACAAATTAAATTTCTTAATTACATATTTTTAGTTGCATTACTTAAGTAAATGTTAAATTTTCTATACAATGATGCTGGTATTTTTTTTAAAAAAAAAGTATAATTTAGATGAAAACATAAATAAAAGCTCTTAAAATTAGATATAATTTTTTAATTAAAAAATCATGAAAGTTTTTAAAAGAAAAAAAAAAGATTGTTTAATGGCAGGTTTGGGGATGGATTAAAATTAGATATAATTTTTTAATTAAAAAATCATGAAAGTTTTTAAAAGAAAAAAAAAGATTGTTTAATGGCAGTTTCGAGGATGCCCTTCCACATTTGTATAAACGGGTTTAAAAGAACGTTTCCTCACCCGCCAAAATAGCATAAAAACAGGACGGCAGCAGATTCATGGCACACTTTCATGGAGACCAAACAACCCCATAAACTCCCACATTCTCCGGCCTACAATTTCCTTCTTCAAGCTGGACCACGTCTCTATCTTCTCCACCAAGTCCATGCCCACATTGTAGTCTCTGGCTATGGTCGCAGCCGATCTCTTCTTACTAAGCTTCTCAATTTAGCTTGCGCTGCTGGCTCCATTAGCTACACGCGCCAAATCTTTCTCGCTGTCCCAAATCCAGATTCTTTCCTCTTCACTTCCCTTATCAAATCCACCTCCAAATCCCACAACTTCTCAATTTACTCCCTTTACTTCTATAGCCGCATGCTCCTTTGTAATGTTTCACCTTCAAACTATACGTTTACGAGTGTGATTAAATCTTGTGCTGATTTATCGGCTCTGAAACATGGTAGGGTTGTACATGGGCATGTTTTGGTTCACGGGTTTGGATTGGACGTGTATGTTCAAGCTGCTTTGGTGGCTCTTTATGGGAAGTGTGGTGATTTGATTAATGCGAGGAAAGTGTTTGATAAAATACGTGAGAGAAGTATTGTGGCATGGAATTCAATGATTTCTGGGTATGAGCAAAACGGGTTTGCTAAAGAGGCAATTGGGTTGTTTGATCGAATGAAGGAAACGGGTGTTGAACCGGATTCGGCCACATTTGTGAGTGTTTTATCCGCTTGTGCTCACTTGGGTGCATTTAATTTAGGGTGTTGGGTGCATAAGTATATTGTTGGTAATGGCTTAGATTTGAATGTGGTGCTTGGTACTTCGTTGATTAATATGTATATAAGGTGTGGGAATGTGAGTAAAGCGCGAGAGGTTTTTGATTCGATGAAGGAAAGGAATGTAGTGGCTTGGACGGCAATGATTTCTGGGTATGGAACAAATGGTTATGGTAGCCAAGCAGTTGAATTGTTTCATGAAATGAGAAGAAATGGATTATTTCCTAATAGTATTACATTTGTTGCTGTTTTGTCAGCATGTGCTCATGCAGGGTTAGTGAATGAAGGGCGCCGGTTGTTTGTAAGCATAAGAGAAGAGTATCACTTGGTTCCTGGGGTGGAGCATCATGTTTGCTTGGTGGATATGCTTGGTCGTGCTGGACTTCTCGATGAAGCATACAATTTTATCAAAGAAGAAATTCCTGAAAACCCAGCACCTGCTATTTTGACGGCGATGCTTGGAGCTTGCAAGATGCATAAGAATTTTGACCTTGGAGCACAAGTTGCTGAGCATCTCTTAGCTGCCGAGCCAGAAAATCCAGCTCATTACGTGATACTCTCAAATATATATGCTTTGGCAGGTAGAATGGACCAGGTGGAAAAAGTCAGAAACAATATGATTCGAAAATGCCTGAAGAAACAAGTTGGCTATAGTACAATTGAAGTGGATCAAAAAACTTACTTGTTTAGCATGGGGGACAAGTCTCACTCTGAGACAAACGCGATTTATCATTTTCTAGATGAGTTGATGTGGAAGTGTAGAGAAGCGGGTTACGTGCCAGTATCTGATTCAGTGATGCATGAATTGGAAGAGGAGGAGAGAGAACATGCGCTTAGATACCATAGTGAGAAGCTTGCAATAGCATTTGGGTTATTGAAAACGAGCCATGGAACTCCTATCAGGATAGTGAAGAACCTTCGAATGTGTGAAGATTGTCATTCGGCCATTAAATTTATTTCAGCTATCTCCAGTAGAGAGATTATTGTCCGTGATAAGCTTCGCTTCCATCACTTCAAGTTCGGCTCATGTTCTTGTCTGGATTACTGGTGAAGGCTCCCTTTGGCATCTTTTAATCAAATATGAAATAAATATCATTTTGCGATGCCTTGATGTACCTTTCAAAAGGGACTTGGAGACACATCAAGATTCAGTTGGTCAACAGGAGTCTCATCATATTGTGATTGGGAAAAGCAGAAACAAATATGAAGGGCATCGATTGTTCATTCTCAGTCAGGATCCTATTCAGTTAGACATGGAGGATGAAGGAATCATCACCAAATTCGCAGTAGCGGACCTATTTCCTGAAATGTGGTCATTAGCCAATTCCTTTTTGGATCATCCCATGAGAAGGTACTTATTCCTCGGTGTTCCTCGATAAGTAATAAGCCACCCGGAAAAGCCACCCGGCCAGCAGAAAACTGTGCTGTTCATCGTGTGATTGGTGGTCTAAGGCACTCCATCAACAGCAAAGGCAGGAGTAAAAAGAGAAGGGAATAAGAAGACCAACCATCAATCGTGCATTTTTTATTATTTTTTTTTAAAGGTTTTGTTAATTCAGTTCCGTGCATATGGAAAGATTTGCCTGGCAATTTCCAGCATTTCCGCGGGACAGTATTTTGCAGCCTATTCTTATCGGGTTTTTTTTTTTTTTAAATAGCACTTTAAAAAAATTTAGGCCAAATAACATTATTTTTAAAAAATATATAAAATAACATATTTTATACATATGTCGTGAATGAAAAACATAAAATTCAAATTTTTTGTAATTTTGGAACTCTAAATTTCAATTAAATTGTGATGCACAAAATAAGGTAGAAAAGATGAGCGAGGAAAAAGAAATAAAAAAGAGAATCTATAGGCTTAGAAACCATGATTCTAATTCTTATCATGTCACTATCAAAATAATGTTAGCGTGATGAATTCAACAATACTGAAAAAAGATATCAACGATTACGCGAGTATGTCACAGATGTCTCATAAAGACGATAAAGATGATGGGTGGCAGACTGGCAGATTCATGGGTGTTGTCATTAGAATTATTTTTTAAAATATATTTTATTTTAAAATATATTAAAATAATATTTTTTATTTTTAAAAAATTATTTTTAATATTAGTATATTAAAATAATACGAAAATGTTAAAAAATTATTAATTTAGAATAAATAAAAAAAATTAAATATTTTTAAAACACAAAAACAAATACTTTTAATATATCACATAAAATTACATACGTACACACAAGTTATAATTCAATCTTCTTTGCAAACAAGAATACTTAGGTGAATTGATTAGATTTTAAATTATTATTTTTAATGATTATTAATTTGAATTTTAAAAAAAAAATTAAAAATTTATATAACTATTAATATTATAATTTATAAAATTAATTAATATATATATATATATAAACTGGTTTGAATATTTATATTAATAAAAAATATATATACATGCTTAGCATCTCAAACTTGTACCATTTCACAGCAGACCCATTTTATGAAGGAAGACATGTGCATTATTGAGTTTCTTGTGCATATTTTGCTGTTAAATTCACTCTTCACGAAGCGGACGAGGGCAGCTCTCTTTTCTCAAAGGAGAGAACAAAGCCAGTACATAATGAGAATCTTGACAGCTCTCTCCATGTTCAAATCATTAAAGAACAGAAAGGGCAAATTGAACTCATTTTACTGTTTTTTATCTGGCATTAATTTCATCATAGGAATTTATTTCTCTGTTTCTTATTAGGTATTAATTCCTTCATTGAAATCACTTCTATTGTTTTTTTATTGTACATTAGTCTCATTACCGGAATTAATTTTGGGTGTTAATCCATTCATTGAGAAATTATTTTCTTTCATTATATATTTTACAATTTAAATATAAAATAACATAACATACCTAAAATATCATAACAACTATATTACAAAAACAAAACATTAAGGTGTGGAACTCCTATGTGCAGTTAATATTTTTGAGTGCCTCTTTGTTGTAGCATGGTTCTACAAGTCTCTCTTATATTGACAAACATATCATATTTTCTTTTTATATATTTTACCAAATAAATTGTTATTTCCAAGCATTTATCTAATAATTTAAATTAACCAACAACAATAAGTTTGACTTATTCAATTAAAATTATCATCTTTTGGTTAGTTCATTTCAAATTAAAATTTTCATTCATTTTCATATTTTCTTGATTCTACTGATAAAGAAAATCCTGCATAATCTCGTATATATAACTATTTTTTTTATTTTTTTTATTTTTTTTATTTTAAAAAAATCCAGAATTTTAAATTAAGATTAATTCCAAATATAGGTTGAAAACTAATTCATTATATATGATTTGTCATAATCAACTATAAACTCTACTCAATGTTTTAATCATAATTAAAGTTTTAGAATTTGGTTCCGTGCATAATTTATTTTTTTGAAAAGCTACATTTATAATTTTGATGGTTAATACTAGATCTAGTTATGCTATCTAGATGTCTAATATCATTAATTATAATAACATGTGGAACTTGTCTTCCTGCTCTTAGTTTAGATGTGTTTACTTGTTTTATTCTATATTTAAAGTTTTATAACTTTAATTTATGTAATATCAATCTAGTTGAAAAGTTAGCATCCTTAAATATAACTTTCATGTAAAAATAAAATTTAAATCTCATTATTTTCATGCCTAAAAATTCCCTATAAATTAAGAGATGAAAATGTCTCATGTTTCATTCATAAATTTTATAATTAATGAAATATCATACACAATTCTATCTTTTTATGACAAACATTATACACAAACACATATATATATCTATACATGTATATTGCAATATTATTAATTTTAATTTTTTAAAACCTTTCATGCTTATTTACATTTTATTTAAGCATCTAAAATTAATTCACGCAACATTCATGTAAACAAAATTTTCAATTACGTAGGACATTTCAGTACAAATTTTTTTGAAAAGATTTGCCTAGCAATTCCCAGCATTTCTGCGGGACAGTATTATGCACCCTATTTTTATTGATTTTATTTTTCAAAAGAAATAGCATTTTAAAAACGAAATTAGCCAAAAAAACACTACTTAAATTATTATTTTTTGTGAAATAACATATTTTATAGATATAGTGAATAAAAAAACACAAAATTCAAATTTATTGTTATCAGAAACACGAAATAGGAAAGCTGAGGGGGAAAAAAAGAAATAAAAAAGAGAATCTATAGGCATAGAAACTATGATTTAAATTCTTGTCATGACGCCATCAGAAAAATCTGAGCGTGATGAACTCAACAATATCACAAAAAAGACACTATCAGCGATGACGCGAGCATGTCACAGATGTCTCGTAAAGACGATAAAGATGAGGGGTGGCCGCCTTATCTTCTGACAGCAAGTTGCTGCAGTTTCCTAGAATCTACTGCTGCCCAAAAGTACGCATTGACACGTAAGTTATAGTTCAATCTTCTTCGGGAACACTTGCATGTTCTGTCACGAGTTCAATTATTTTTGGATTTATTAGAGAATTATATAATTATTAATTTTAGGATTTATAAAATTAATTAAAATATAAAAAAAATACTTACATGCTTAACAACTCAAACTTGTACCGTTTCACGGTAGACCCATTGTTTAACGGAAAACATGTGTATTATTGAGTTTGTTGCGAATATGTTGCTGTTAAATTCACATGAACTCGTGACGGAGTGGACGCGGGCAGCTCCCCTTTCCGGAAGGAGAAGACAGAGCCACGTGCATAATGAGGATCTTGACAGCTCTCTCCAAGTTCAAATCATTAAAAAACAGAAAGGGCAAGCAGGCAAGTGGAATCGGCAAACTGAACTGTTTTTTATTGGGCATCAATTCCATCACCGGAATTTATTTCACTGTTTCTTGTCGGTAATTAATTCCTTCACTGAAATTAATTCTACTGACCGTTATTGGATGTTAATCTTATCACTGGAATTCATTTTGGGTATTAATCCTTTTGAGAAATTTTTTTCTTTCATTATATGTTTTATAAATTAAATATAAAACAACATAACATATTAAAATATAAAACCTCTCCTCAGTTTTTTAATCATAATTAGGATTTTAAAACTTGATTTGATGTATATTTTATTTTTTAAAAAAGTTAAAACATTTTTATATAATTTTGAAAATAAATAATAAACCTATTTATGTCATCTAAATGTTTAAAATCCTTAGTTACAACAGCATGTGAAATCTCTCTTCCTACTCTCAATTTAAATTTACTTCTATAATTACAATTTATATAAAATTAATTTTGTTACAAAATTAAAATCCCTAAATATAAATTTTATACAGAGATGAATATTAAATCTTATCATTTTCATACTAAAAATTCTCTAAAAATCAAAAGATGAAGGTGTCACATGTGTTTATTCATGAATTTTATAGTTAATGAAATATCATACATAATTTTATTTTTTTATGACAAGCATATATATTCCAATATCATTGATTTCAATTGTTTAAAATTATTTATGTTAGTTTACATTTTATCTAAGCATTTAAAGATAATTTACGTAACATTCATATTAATGAAATTTTCAATTACTTTACAAAATTTTAATAAAAAAATTCAAATTATAATTAAAGCCTTGTTTGTGCCGGCAAAAAATAATTTTCTAAAAATAATTTTTAAAACTTTTCCATATTTATTTGCTATGAAAAAAATTGCACATACAACTATTTCTTACATTCCTTTTTCATTTTTGTTACTTCAAAAAAAATCAAAATTTTAAATTAAGATTAATTTCAAAAATATATTAAAAACTAAATAATTTCAAATGGTCTGTCATAATCAAATCTAAATAATATTTTAATCATAATTAGAGTTATAAAACTTGTTTTTATGCATAATTTATTTCTTTGAAAAGCTAATAATTTTTTCTATATTTTTAAAAATAAATACTAAATTTAGTTCTGTCATTTAGATATCTACAATCATTAATTACAACAACATGTGAAATTTCTCTTACTACTCTTGGTTTGGTTTAGATTTATTTTTTATTATTTTTATATCTTGAGTTTTATAATTCTAATTTATACAAAATCAATTTCATTTGAAAGTTATTATCTCTAAATATAATTTCTATGTAAATATAAATTTTAAATTTCATCATTTTTTATATAAAAATCCGCTATAAATCAAGAAATCAAGAAACAAAGGTGTCACGTGTTTCATTCATAAATTTTATAATCAATGAAATGTCTTGTATAATTGTATCTTTTTCATGACAGGTACTATACACACACATTGTGATATTATTAATTTTAATTTTTTAAAACTCTTCATATTCATTTATATTTTATTTAAGTATTTAAAATCAATTCACACAACATTCATGTTAACAAGATTTCTAATTACATTATGACATTTCAATAAAAAATTGAAATTATAATTAAATTCTTTCAAAAATCATTTCTCTACATAAAAATATATTAATTCACAATAATTTCACTTAATTTCATTCAATTATACATGTATCAGCAGCAAAGACATTAGTAAAAAGAAAAAGGAATAAGAAGACCAGCCAGCAATAGTGCATTTTTATTATTATTATTTTAAAAAGGTTCTGTTGGTTCAGTTCTGTGCGGTAA